AGAGAGCTCAGAGAATTCTAGTACCCAAGAATTCGGCAGTGCTCACAGAATGAATTCGAACAAAATTTTGGAGCACCAATATAGTGAAAATGCACTTTCCATTGCATCTGATGAGACACCAGAACCTCCTCAGGTACCACCAGAACTGTTTTATCAACCATCAAATACACAGCGTATACGTGATGCCTCGGTTTTTGATATGTACAGACGAAGAAATGCTCTCCGGTTAATGTTGTCAAGCTGGTCTAAATCAGCGAAGCGGAAGCGAGAGTTAGTTCAGGCCATGGAGCAGAGAGCCATATATTATGATAGCAAAACTTTGGTTGTTCAGGTCCTGGACTTGTGGAAGGCTGCATTGCAAGACAAACGTGAAGTCGCAGAAGCTGAGAGAGAAGCTGCACAGAACGAGAAGTTTTTCAATAATCTCGAGGAGCGAGCTGCTCGCGCTCGAGACATATACCTGCTCACGAAAGCGTTTACCCACTGGTCACAGATTGCCTCTGAGGAAGTTCATAGAACCGAGGCTGCCCGCCGCCATCTGCTCTGCATCAAATATTTTAACGCATGGCGCGAAATAACAGCCGTCGATGAACTCAAAGCCCAGCGCTTTATGCTGAGAAAACCACTGAAACTCTGGAGTGGCCGCCACCAACAAATTGCCCCGCTAGATTCTCAGGCAGAGGAATTTCGCCAGAGAAGCCTTAAGAGATACGGGTATTCACACTGGTTTTGGTCTTTCTGTGACAGGCTAGCACCGCGGTGGAATAAGGAGCGCTTGAAACAACGGTCTTTTATTGCTTGGTTGCGTGCCCTCCGAACTCAAAGGGAACGTGATCTTGCAATCGACTCCAATCGTTCTCTTAATTCTCTGAAAATTACATTTCAAACTCTTGTTCAGAAATATCGTGAAGTTTCCTCTGCTGAGAAGAGCGCGAATAACCATTGGAAATACCATGTCACATCAAACTATCTAACAGAATGGTCAGTCAAGCAAAAGTACAGGCGGCCTTTTGCAGAATTGACTAGCCTACTAAACACTAGGTTAGTGCGCTCATGTCTGGAGGACTGGTCTCAACAGACACGCATGGAGAGAAGAGCGCGGGACGCTGACAGACTTCGTGTTATGCGTAACTGTTGGACAACCTGGAATGACCATCTTCGCTGCCAGGCCTTGTCTTCACGAACAGAGGAGCGAATTGTCTTGCAGTCATTATATAAATGGATCCTTATAGGGAGGTTGCGCCTACTAGATCGAATTCACCAACAACGCCTAAAGGCCAGCTACCTCAAGACGTTGATGGAAAATTCTCGGAGCCTGTACAACGAGCTCCTTGTCAAAGAAGCCAGATTTCGAACTGATAGAAAACGAAAATTGGCGCAAGCCACCTTTAGCTACTGGAAACAACGTCTCGATATCCAAAAGCAACGTGAACTGGTAAGCCGAGCATTTTATGCTCCTCCCGTCCAGCAAGAGGTGCTTCAAAACTGGAAAGCACGCAGCGAGCATTTGGCAACTCTCGATACATGGGCAAAGAAATCGGAGTATTTTTTCTTGACTACGAAAACGCTGAAGCAGTGGCGGAGTGCAGCAGCAGAATCGTCCAAGAGACGACGGTTGGAAGCATATGCAGCCATTCGGCGCAAAGTGAAAATGAATCTAGCCACTGCTGTTATTTCCGCCTGGCGGTCTCGCTGCGCTACTGTTCGTGAAATACATCAGCGATCAACGGAGATGTATGGGGAAAAGCTCATTGCAATCGGAACTAACATGTTCCACCTCTGGTCGGAAAAGGCCACACAACGAGCGCAACACCTTGCGGATGCACAGCTATACTATAACCGACAGTTGGTTTACAATAACTTAACACACTGGGCAGGGATGCAACGGTCCTACCAAATGCTTGATGAGAAAGCGACCCGGTTTCTAGAGATCCATGTCTCTGGTATTGCCCTTGCTCAAATTCGAAAGTTAAGCCTTCGGATATTTGAAGTTAAAACACGACTAGAAACTGCAGATGCGCTGTATGGTCGCAATACTCGAAAGCACTACCGGAATATGATTCATCACTGGCGCGAGAAAGCTAGAATTTCAAAGGACTTTGACTCTTTTCCAATAGAAACTCCCTCCAAAAACGGCCATAGTATTCAAGTTAACGACCCGCATGGATGGCCAAGGATAGATCATCCCAGAGAACGAGAAGAGCCACCAATACGACAACCGGATTTTACATCTCACACCCCTATATCAACACCAGGTTATCTGAACAGCCCCTCGAAGCGGGCCGCCAGAGCAAGGGCTTTGGTTCAGATGTCTACAACTCCAGCAACCCCATTACCAACATCATTTCCTAGCAAGCTGTGGGCCGCAAGCGAGCCCAGGCTACAGCCTATATATTCAACGAGGAGAAGTGCGTTTAAACGTGGTGCAACGAGCACCAATGTACGATTTGCTATTGATGAAGAACCAGAATCGCCTACTGAAGGCAGATCAACTGGAAGGGAGCTAACGTGAAGAGAATAAGGCGAACATGTAACATATTTACGAAGAGCATAAGAAGGAAAACAGAAACAACAGAAATACATAACTTAACGAACCAGCCCAATGAGCGCCCACCGTAGTAGTATTTAAATTACCCATCTCAAGCCTGCCGGTATATTTCCATAGCCTCTCCATACACCTTATTCACAAATTGTCATCCCAAATGGTCACACCCTCGAAACCCAAATAAAGCCAATGTGGATAAATAAACGCGCGGGAATAATATCCCTGCAGTGAAAAGAACGGGTGAAAATACGGGTCCAGTTCCTATGATTCGGCCAAAGCGTAGCACAAAAAGGCAAAGCCAGAGTTGCAATCAGAGCCAGCTAGGTTGTGTTGTATGAGATATAGCCAGCTCATATCTGGCATGGTGTGTTGATTCCAAGGAATTATGGGTATTTCGGGGGGGAAGTGCTAGAACAAAGGTGTAATAAAAATTTGATGAGTATCTCATCACAATCGAACTGAAATGACTCGCAGAGAGCTGAGGAGTAATGCCAAGAGAACGGAGTATTAAATAGTTTGAAATATTAGTATCGTTGAATCGTTCATCTTGCGTTATAATAGTCGGCTTCTCGTTGCGTTCACGAAACTTTCAGTCTTTTCTGCTTATTGCTTAATGTGGATCTAGACGAGGTGTGATTGGCCTGTCTCTTCTTTCCTAATTCTGGTCTGCTAGACGAGGCATCATGCGGGGGGATTGTAGGATGTCCACGGTTCACATTAGGTCCAGTCGGACCAGGAGTAATATCTGAGCTCGTTCGGGCAATAGCCGGTGTAGGCTTGAATTTAGGGTCAGAGCTTCTAACGGAACGTGACGTTTGAAGCTTTTCAGACATATGTATAGATGTATCGGTAGGTGTATGGTCTGGAGTTGAGTCGTGACCCCTAGATGGCTTCTGCGGGATCGCAGCAGGCTTCGGAAATGGCACTGTGGTGATATTGCTGCGAATAGGGGGCCGGGCAGACCGGTTTATGGGGCTTGAATTCTTCTGGTGATCCTCAATAAAAGACCTGGGAGCTTTGATGATACGGGATGCCATAGTATTGAGTTTGTGGGTTGGCGTAGACAGCCTGTTATTCCGCTTGACGACCGCCGGTAATGCAGACTTCCTGGCTCCAGAAGAAGCACCGGAGTTGGATCTAGAAGACAGCTTGGGCGGGACAAGTCTCCATTGCGGTCGATCCTCCCACGGCTTACCGTTATTGGGGTCACTGCTCTTCGTGCCTAATGCGAAAATAGGGGAGATACCGCCCATCATGCGGTCATGATGAGCATGCCGCTGAACAGTAGTAGGCTTTTCTCGGGGGAGTCTCATTTGCTTTACATCAACCAGTTTGGGAGTGTGCTTTAGCTTCTCCTTGTCAAGGCCTTGTAACGCACGTTTCATGCGCTCTGCATCCTCGTCAACTTTCTTGGCAGCTTGCTCCCTAAGAGATGTATAAAACTGATACCAACTCTCAGGGGGTTCAGTTAGATCCAGAGTCTCCCAGAAGTATATGTCACGCTTGATAAATTCAATCCAGAGTTCAGCATCGTGCTCTAGAAGATGTGGAGATCTTTGCTCAAGTTCATACTAACCAAGTAAAGTAATGAGGAAGGTATAAGTTAATAAAGTGAGATTTGGCATGGGTTTAGTTAAAGACGTGCCTCTAGGGCTGCACTTACGAGTTGCTGGGGATTCTCAATCTTCTGAAGGATAGGGCGGATAACTTCATAACGGGCCAAGCCAACATCTGTTATTTCTAGTTTATTTACTGTTAGTTGGAAGCTGGAAAGTGAGAGGATACAAATCATAAAGGTATGTATGCTATACTCACCCCTAACTACCTTGACACACATCCGGCGGGCCATCAGGAGGAGAGGCGAAGCCCCTATATTTTGGTTCGACGAAGAAGCCATATGATCGGAAGGCCCAGACGGACCATATATATACTAGAGAAGGAGGGAACAGAACACACAAAATTAAGACAGAATGGCGAGACAAGAAAAATGCATCAGCTAAGGCTTTTGTAATAGAATTGAAGAATGTAAGCGGAAGTCAAGAGGGAGATCGTGTAGGGGTTTCTGTCTAGCTAGTTATAGTATGAGACAGGGTAAATATTTGCCTCGTCGAGCCTGTGCTCCCCTCATATACTGACGAAAGAAGTGAATAAGACAACGCCGGCGCTGCTCCTCAATATTGCATAGCTTCAAATGGTTATCATTGATGTTGCGAGGTTTAAATAACCAATCCATCCATTCCAATTAATATCAATCACGTGTAAAATTACGTCAGCGGGCCGGGCAGCCTTAGGTAATACGCGGAGCGGATAAACAAATTGACCTTGAGCTAAAAATAGAGTCCATAATTAGGCACCTTATGTAAGCTCCACATAAAAAGTAAGAACAAGAGACAAAAACGAAAGGAACAACAAGTGCGAGTATGTAAGAACGAGAACTGCAAAGTAAAGCAGGATGCTAATCCCTCCCTTCACGCTCCCTTTGGAACTGAGGGGTTAGCATATACAGATGGTCCGAAATAACGACCCGGTGAAGGTGGCCTGACTTCCGCCGGTGATGCTTTTCTGGAATACATGAGCTTACAGCAGACCAGATGGTTACACCAAGCCTCGTCATCAACGAAGATTTAGGGAGTGAGAGAGGGATGCAGTCGATATTACTCTCTATGGCTGTGCCCGCGATCGGAGCCTGGGTTGCATAGTAGAATGAATTAGCTGCCTCATAAACCTGGTCTTCTCGTTCTTGACTTAGTAGCGCGCCTTTGGAAGAAGCTGACGCCAGCCAGGCGGGATCCAGAGGAGATATGAGCCTCCCAACTGGCCGTATGAAGATTATGGCACACGCGATTGGTCTCCCACGCGAGATCGACTTATCCAATATCACGATTGTGTTACAAACCTTACATTTGACGCCGAGTTCATTTCGCTCAAAATGCTGACTGAAGGGATAAGGTATGTTTGATTTGCCAGCGCGAAAAAAATCAGGAACGTAGAGGTCCACAATTCTTTTGTCGGCCGTCGTCATATGGGGGCAGACTGGGTAGTTTAATTTCTGGCATAGTTCTGCGAACCGTTCCACGGAAACCTTTTTGCCTTGAGGGAACAGCCGTATGCCGGTCACTACTGATATTTTGGGGGAGGAAAAGAGGTTCCAGAAGGAGCCCTGTTGCAGAATATCGATGTTTTCCTCCAATTCCCGTGTCCTCCTCATCTCCAGTACCTCGTTAAAGCTCTTGGGGTCTGACCCAAATGCTCCAAATGCCATAACCTTCTTGGTTCGTAAACAATAGCGCTCTGCGTGGCGCTTTTCCAGTTCATCCTTGGAGAAGTGAGAGGAAGGGTGCGTGGTGAGGCAACCCCGGCAGCAATACTCCTTTATCTGTCCGACTCCTTCGAGCATGCACATGACAATGAACTGGCCCATTTTGGTTGATTTTAGCTCGCGTTGGGCCCCTGCAAGGATGGTAGAGAAGTAGAACCGAGCACAGGTGAGTGATAATGCGAATGAGTTGTTGGGAGGCAAATATTCGTGAATAATCCCGAGCAGTTCGGCCGGCAATCTGTAGAGGGGGCTATGTTGGAAATTATGACGTTCTGCCTCGCTCCAGTCGTGAGTGTGCTTTTCGGGAGCAGCGAGCAGCTCGCGAATATACTGGAACAGGCTCCATGAGTGTTCGGATGCTGGGTCCATCTTGGTTAAAGGCTTCGAATAGTGTAGCTTTGGGATGAATTATGTAGAGTAGCTTATGAGCCTTCATGTTGAGGGCTATCCAGTGCCCTTTAAATAATCTCGACTGGAAGCAGTGGAGCTTGTAGGATTCATTGACTGGGTCGAGTGATTGTAATGCCTTTCAGTGTAGTCCGAAATAATGCGACGAGGACTGCAATTGCACATATTAGAATAGTTGGATATTGGATACACCCGATAAACATGCGCGAGGCTTCAACTATAGTATAAAGGGCGACTGGGTATATTAGGCATTGGGCTAATAATCCATTCAAAGAGGTATAATGATGAACTATCGGAAGAGTGGGAAATATCCTCCTTTCCTCCATGTGACGTTTAATCCTCGGCCACCCGATCCTCGAGGCAGCACAATGGGGTGCCATTATCTCTAAAGGGGATGGGGGATATTAAGAAGATCGGATACGCCATGACCGCAGTAGGTTCTGGGAAGTTAAACCTAGTCCAGGCGCATAGCTTAGCTGATGGCTGCAATATGTGATGCTCAGGGCCTCACTGTGACATACGGTCATCCGGGTTAGATGGTAAACCCTATAGTCGAAGTAAAAACCTAGAAACCGATGGAAAACATAATGGAGACGATAGACTGCCTAAAGGATAGAGACTGTAGGGTATGAAAGCTCCCTACAACGTTGAGGGAAAGTAGCGACATTAATAAATAACGCCTTGACCATTTGTACAGTTAGAAAAAGAACCGTATTGAGATGTCCCATTCAATAGAGCACTGCAGGCTGGATAAAGGAAGAAACAGATGAAAGGAGAAGCTCATGTCTAAGCTCTTCAAGAGTTGAAAGACCGCAAAAACTTGGTGCTCTTTCGCCACTGAATGGGGTTTCAGAATAACTGCGAAGAAGGAAAGCACCTTGCAAGAAAGACTTCTCTATGATGAATCAAAGAGAAACCGATACCTCTCAGTCTTAGGTACAGGCTAACAGTGTAATATAGAGGAAAGCAGTAGAATAGGGGTATAATGTTGGAGTTGAAGTTCACTGCAGCCAGAACCTTCTCCTAAATGACAGAAAGTTGAGCTAGGAGTGGCTGTGGCTCTTCCAAATACATCAGCTGTGGAAGATATATAGCATCAATATCAACGTAGTGTATCAACCTAATCCACAATTCGAAAGTAACCCTGCATCTCTTCTGACTGGATAACGCTAGTATTGCTCCAGGAATACCCCCAAACTCTCTACTTGCTGTCCAAGCTGCAGCGGGCTCACCAGGTTTCCCACCAAAACGACGGATAACCACCACGCCAATAGCTCCGCGATGTTCATTACAGCAACGTTGGTGGTATCAATCTCCACGGCAATCCTGATCGGGGTCGGTTCAGCAGGGACCTGGTCCATATGGTGGTCGACGCACCGCAACCCATCTAACTTGGCGAGCGAGGTGGAGGAACTTAGTCGTAGAGTCGAGAATATAGAAAATGGTTTGGAACGGACAAATACAGCAGACCCTCCTGAAGACGGCCTGACAACATCTCAGACCAATCAGGAAACCAATCATAATGACAATGCTTCAGTCATAAGAGCGAACGACGACAATTGTGATACAGTGGATGTATCAAACGAACAATCGAAAAACAGTATACCATTAGAAGTGCGTCATCAATCAGCATCCGAGAGCATTAGAAGGCCAGCAACTCCAGTGAATACTCATGCAGAGAAAGGAAAGGACGTACAAGGAGCTCTTTAACGATTTATGGGGTATGTGCCTCGATATTTGGGCGTTGTCTGCTATCTATCCCACTGACTTTCTGCAGGTTCCTCAACCACGGGCAAAAAGCCACGACAACCGGCACTCCCAATGTGCCTTTTTCTTTCTTTTTAATTTCCAGAAGCGGCATTTATGGGGAAAACCATTATTCTTTGGGCCTAGCAGAGCGCGAACGCAAGCGTCTCTCCTTGTTTTATTCTGTCTTGTTTTGCTTTGTTGTTGTTGCAGAAAGTAGATAACTTTTGAATTTGGTGAGATTACATAATAAAAATGACGTAACCCGACTCGTTATGTCACATGATCAATCTTGCGGCTCAAAGCTGAACTGTATTAATAAGGAGTTTATTACGGGCGGGCGCTAACCATATCAGGTAGCCCGTACTCTCCTACTCATCAATTTGGATTGCAAGAGAGCAACCACAAGAGTAAACACGCAGCCAGTCGATCATTAAGAGGCAAAGAAACGAAGAAAACAGGGGGGGAGGCCGAGTGAAATAACTTGTTATCTAGAGTTACAGCGTCTACGTAACTGCACCGCTGTGGACGATACCCCCGAGCCTTGGATACATATATAAGATAACCACCTCTCGTATTCCTACGAGTCGAGGGCCGAAACCCCATGTTACCCCGTATATTGGTAGTGTATAGATGCACACCTGCCCCGAAGTGAACGCAGGTAAACAGCGGCGAAAAAAGAGAATCAACGTGAGGCCAGGAGCCAGCTCTAGATCCAGCCGATAGCTGCCCAGTGACTGAAACTAGCAGCCCTGCCCACGATGGCACTACCGGTGGCGGACGACGATGACCTGCATAAGCTGAACCAGGAGGAGCGGGAAGCCGAAGTGCGGCTGGCAACGCAGAAGGAACATGAGATGGGCGTTGTCGAGGCAATCAAGCTATACCCAAAAGCCACTGCTTGGTCACTACTCTTCTGCATGGGCGTTATCATGAACGGGTTTGACGCGCAGGTGATAGGGAATATGTTTCCCGTGGCTAGATTTCAGCGAGATTTTGGATACCAGTTTGAGGGGAAGTGGAATATATCCGCTGCCTGGCAGTCAGGCTTGAGGTGAGCAGTGCCGCTGAGTTGACGGGACAACTATGAGACAGTACGCACATGAAAATGTGTTAACGTGGTGGAGCAGCATGGGAAGTCCCATCGGACAGGTTGTTGGCGCCCTGCTTGTCAGCTATCCCATGGAGTGGTTCGGTAGAAAGCGGACATTTCTTGTACGTATGGCCTCCACACATCGATAAACGGAGGATGGATAACTCATCTTTCTTGTTCTTTTTCTGGCAGGCTTGTGTGGTGATGACGGCTGGATTTATTTTCATCCAGTTCTTCGCCCGTTCACTCGAAGTTCTGATTGTCGGTCAATTACTAGGTGGTCTGGTCTTAGGCACATATACTGTCATCGCGCCTACGTATGCCTCCGAGGTCTGTCCGGTGGCACTGCGCGGTATCTTGACATCCTACGTCAACCTCTGTTTTGTTATCGGCCAGTTCCTTGCCAATGGTATCTCTGCCGGCACACACAACCTGGATTCACACTGGGCTTATAGTCTGCCCTTCGCTCTACAGTGGGTTTGGCCAGCTGTAATACTGTGCACAGTTCCCTTTGCCCCTGAGAGCCCCTGGTGGTTGGTGAGAAAGGAGAGAATGGAAGATGCAGAGGAATCACTACGTCGCCTTGCATCGTCGAAAGTTGACGTCAGACCCGATCTGGTAAGTAGTCGTCTGGGAAAATCCATGAGCTTGTTTCTAAACCGTTTCCTTTTCTTCCTCACCCCAGACTATGATTGTCGAAACGGACCGATTAGAGCAACATATGGAAGCTGGTACTACACTTATGGACTGTTTTAAAAGCGTGAATGCCAGACGCACTGAGATTGCTGTTGGAGTTTACGCAATCCAGGTCCTCAGCGGGATATATCTTGTTGGCTATTCAAACTATTTCTTTACCCGTATGATACTCCCCATCACTCCCAGAATACTAACACTGCGCTAACTTCCGCCTAGTTGCTGGTCTTAGCACCGATGATGCTTTCAACATGGGGGTAAGTTCTATTTCTTTCTTTCGAAACAAGCCTTCTTTTTTCTCACAAGTAACAGCTCGGGTTTCTCGGCGTTGGATTTCTGGGTACTGTTCTCTCGTGGTTCGAGCTCGCATATTTTGGCCGTCGTACCATCTACCGCAATGGCCTAGCGATGCTCGCGGTCCTCCAGTTTGTCATTGGCATCCTCGACTGCGTTCCAAACTACGAAAAACGCCCCAACGTCATCTGGGCCCAGGCATCGATGATGGTAGTCTGGAACTTTGCATATAGTCTGTCCGTTGGACCCGTGTGTTTCGTCATCCTGTGCGAATGCTCAGCGACAAAAGTTCGGTCGAAGACCATTGCGCTGGCCACTGCTGTACAAGCGATGCTTGGTATCGTCATGACGGTTGCGATTCCGTACATGATCAACCCCGATGCAGCGAACTGGCGTGGGAAACTTGGATTTTTCTTCGGGGTACGTATCGGCTCATCTACGGGATTGGATACTGGTGCTGAAACATTCGCTTCCAGGGCCTTGCTACGATATGTTTCATCTGGACTTTTTTCAGAGTCCCAGAGACAAAGGGCAGGACGTATGAAGAGCTTGACATCATGTTTGAGAGAGGCGTGTCTACCCGGAAGTTCAAAGGCTACAAGTTTGATTAGGTTGCGGACTGTTCTATAAATTCAGGTCGTGGTTAATGATAAGGTAATGCTATTAATGCTAATGATGTGTCTATTGTTAAAACAAAATTGCCGAACAAAAGAAAAGAGCCTTAAGTGTAAAGATAGAGAGAGACATTAGATGCTTCAGCTAATGCCTGCCCCATGAGATCAGGCGCGCATAGGCTGACAGAAGCTGACAAAATTGAGGTGTAAAGAAAGATACAAGTGACGGCTTGCATAGGGTATAAATCAAGGAACTAAAAACAAGGGAAGTGAGGTAGAAACGGGGTACAGATGGACAGACAAGTTAGCCCTCCTTTAATTCCCGTTAGCCTTAGCCCCCGCAAACTTCTGGGGGTTGACTGGATGCTGCTTCTCCGGTGGTGGCATTTGAACCATCCAGTTTGGTGGTGCAATGCCAGTTTGTTCATGAATGGTAGAGAAGAGCGGAGGCATCGACTGCATGAGGTTGCGTAGTGGTGCGGTTGCATCTGCGGCGCTGGAATTTCCATCTGCATTTCCGGTGTTCCAGACGGAGATCTTGGGCTGAAGACCCTGTATGGCTTGCCCATTTGCTTTGGCGAGCTTCTCGTAGGTACCGCTTTGGATCATCATGTATTGGAGAAGACCTTGTGGTCCTCCAAGAACTTCGGCCATGGCTCCGTAGCCCTTTGCCATTTCTGCCATGGCCTCGGCTTCTTTCTGTTTAGCGTAGAACGCAGCTTCGGCTTCTTTGGTTTGGCGATAGTCTATAGGGCAGTTAGTATGAGAGTATACACATGGGCAGGGGAAGGAGTATGGATATGCATACAGGTTGCATCGGCTTCCATCTTGCTGCGGTACAAGCTGGCGTCTGCTTCCTTGGTGCGGCTGAAGTATGTGGCTTCAGCGGTCTGTTCTGCAGCCTCTCTGGCGGCTTTGCTCTTGGTGACATCGAGTGCTCGAAGTCTCTCGAGCTCGGTCTCGGCACGCTTGGTCTCGACGTGTTTCTGCAGCTCAGAATCCTTTGCTTCGGCATGGCGCTTTGCCTGGATTCTTGCAAGCTCGATTCCCATGTTGAGCTCAGTCTGGCGGTTGGTGAGCTGGGCATCGGCCTGGAGCTTATCACTTCGACGCTTGGTCTCGAGGACTGCCGTCTCAGCGTCGATTCTGGATATCTCTTGCTTGGTCTTTCCTCGTTTCTCAGCTTCTCCAATTTCTCCTCTCATGCGAGCTTCGGCGACCTCGATCTTGGACTGGTTGAGGGCACCTTCATGGGCCTTACGGCTAAGATAAGTGAAATATTCGCTTCCGGGGGCATCCTGAAGCTCCTTGACGTTGGCGTTGTAACTGTTGCAGGTTAGTCTGTGATCTTCATTTAGTATAAACGGACGGTAGCTTACATTCTGAGACCGAACTGGTCTAGTTCCTTTTGAACGTTGTCGATAACATGTTGCTTGAAGAGCTGGCGTTCCTTGAAGATCTCTTCCATTGTCATACCCGAGACGATGACTCGAGTCTCACCCTCGATGATACCTTTGACGATATCCTGAACATAGTTTCCCGACGCATGGGAGGAGTTGCTCTGGCGGCCAGATTTTCCAGAGAGCAGGAGGGCGTATTTTTTAAGGGAGGCGAGGTTGTTGTCTGGACCGATGGTGAAGACTGCAGGAAGAGAAAACTGGAGTTTCTCGATGGTCATAGCCTGCAAGTTGAGGGAAAAGTCGAAGGGCGAGATGGAGATACGAGTACACTATGAGGAGCTGTTAGTTATGAGGCTCCTGGATGCCTCTGTAGACCACAGTACTTTACCTTCTGCCATGGTAGGAGGAAGGCCGTCTTTTTGATGAGGACATCTTGGATGCCAGCACCGGTGATGACCAGGTACTCATTTGGCTCGGAGACGTTATACCTATGTGATGTTAGACGGTATTGAAGCAACCCTCGGTGGAGACTTACCACATGGTGAGCGGAGGTTCGTAGAATAAGAGGTGGATTTGTATTGAGTGTAGCGATTATAACTGTTGAGGATGGTAGAGCGTATGAGCTTCTGGGTGTTTCGAGCTTCGGATGTGAATGTTCACAGCCGGATATTATGAGTATGAGTATGGGTATGGGTATGAGAGAGTATGGTCGTGGTGGTGAGGATGGTGAAGATGGAGTTGAAGATGATGGCGAGAGAGGAGAAAGCTGGAGGCCACAAAGGACTTTATATAACCAGCTGGCCAGGCGGCGTTTGAAGAGAAGGCGATACAGTCAGAGAGCCGCCGCACATCGTCATGAGGCAAAGAAGGGATGCAAGCTATCGCCCAAGCTCTAAACCCCCGGTCTTGCTCCCATATCCAGCGGAAAAACGGCTACACGGCGCAAACTGCATTGCCATGCAGGGATTCTGGTTAAGTTCGCCAGCGGAACCGTCCGCCATCCCATCCTCTGCCCTTGGAAACACATCTCTGACCCAGGGATACGAGCAGCTGGGGGCGCAATAAACGAGCAAAAGCCGCCTTGTCTGCTTTGCCGGCATGTATCCTCTCCCTGTCACTCCATAGACCATTACCAGCAACGCCCACGCGCCTTTTTGCTGCGGCGCTTTCGAACAAACGAGCCTCTGCTGGTGCTGCTGCGGAGATCAGAGCCGCATGCTGATCCAGAACTCGGCATGGATCATCTCGCTAGTCGACACGAGCGAACAGCCTCATTGGCGGAGCGGAGCGGGCGAGCAAGGGGGAAAATGGAGCATGGCGCAAGGCTTGGAGCTGCCGGGCGCTCGTTCGCTCCTCCTGTCGCCTGCGCTGTTTGGGGCAGTGCATTCCATAAGTCATATGTTAGATGTTGCTGAATAGGGGGGGTTGGTTTCGATAGTTTGGTTGTTGGTTGGCGGTTCGTCCCGGCGAATGTGGTGCTCTGATGTCTGGCTCTTGGGACTCGACATACTTAGCGCAAGCGATGATGCATATTCCATGTCTGTCTGCCGGCAAATCTGATGCCATCCAGCCGAAGTCTCCGCTGTTGCATGGCTGGCGAATATATCTACCGGTCTTCCGTACCTTGGTAGGCCACCATCGCACATAACGTACGTCCCTCGATATACCCGTCTGGCCTGCGGAGCCCACCAAAAAATAAAATAAAGACAATCCAGGCTATAGCTATAGCCGTTATTTATCCCGTTTCGTCATCCTTGTGACTTCATAATAATGGACGAGGCGGTTCCCTCGTACGAGGAGTCTGAGGCCTCATTTGCGCAGGACAAGAAGCAGCCTCTGCATGCCAGCCCGCCTCCGTCTCTGCTCCCACAGCATCTTGCAGAAACAAGGACACAGCGCATCCAGTCCATTCTCACCGCATACGTCGACCCTCTCCTCTTCTCCCAGGGCAGCGACGGCCTGTATAAGACCACCTTCGTCCTCGTCCCTTCTTCCGTCGCCAGTCTCCAGGACGCCGTCGGCAATGCAGCCGCCGCCACCCCACAGGAGCCCCAGGTCATGGGCTTCCCTTCCGACGAGGTGGTCAAGCTCGTCCGTCTCCAGGGCCCGGGCCACACCATGGAGTTTTGGCGACAGCCCGCCGTCGTCGCTGAGCTAGACTCCGCCTTGCGTGCCCGGCTCGCAGCGTCCGGTCACCGAATCTACGAGCAGCCCACCGATACCCCCACCGTCTCTGAACACGAACCGGAGCAGCAAAGTCAGCAGCAGCAGCAGCCGGCACCTGCACCGAAAGGAAAGCTGAGACGCTCCTTTTGGCGGCTGGCTGGGGGTTCGGATGATACGATCAACGACCAGAAGCTGGGCTGGCGCGCCGAGGAGCCGGCCGACGAAGCCAGGAAGATTCCCACGGGCCTGGTCAAGGTCACGATCGCCTGGAAAGAGGTTGCTCTGCGCATTTCCAACGAGATGGGCCTTTACGATACCCAGCGAGGGCCGGCGCTGTGTCTCACTGTCGAAGTTGGCTCGTAGTCAGCATGTTGCTGCTCGGCCAACTCGTCTGTATCTTAGTTGATGCTAGCTGCTCTCATAAAGATAGCCATGACGCTTCCTTCATCTCTTCTCGTGCTCCTCTCACCCTCCATCGTCATCATCATCCATCATCCTCGTCCATCGCCCTGTATCTACCTGAATATAAATAATAATATCTCGAACGTCCTTCGTTCATCCGCTATATCATGATGACGTCAGCAGTGTCATCCACGTGACCTTATCGATAAGACTGCATCCCACCTGCTTGTGTTTTTTTTTCTCTTAGAACTCTCGAGGAGACGAGACGTTGAAACAACATCAAACAGCTTATCAACCAACAGACAGCAACGTCGGTCTCACTGCAGCTGCTTGCTCGGTAGCAAACTGTCCCAAGATTCCCACGAGCCTCTCTTTCGTAGGACTGTATAATGGCGCCCTCGACACCGCTCTCCATCGCAACTGGCGCTGTCCAGAGGCTGGTCAAGGAAGAAGCATCCTACCAGCGCGAGAAGAAGGACCAGGAACAGCGTCTCGAGAAGCTATCAAAGGAGACCTCCGACGATGAGAACCGCGAGTACATGCTCAATCAAGAGGTTAGATCACCCCTTACTGTTTACTATTTACGGCGCTAACAGCTTTTAGCGCAAAGCTCTAGAGGAGACCGAGAAGCTTCTTCCCCAGCTAAAACAGAAGATCAACGAGGCGGTTGCAAAATTGGAGCGTTTGCTTGTGAGTTTGGCATTCTGCATTTGCTAGCTGCTGTCTATCTCGTGAATCATAACTAATCTCTACTTCGTTTCCTCGGATATTAGGCTGAAGAAGGTCAAAAGGGCGCGGAGAGCGACGTCGCTCAGATAACTGCCGCAAAGGAAGCGATCTCCCATGCTAAGACTGCCGTTAGGGAGATTTCGTAGGTCGCAGATTTTTGGCCATGAACTCGAGGAGACTGATGAACGGGGCAAGGCGTAAAATGACAGGTGATAATTGTACATGTATATGTTCTGGCTTGTAAGGAATCCATTGACCATTTCGTCTTTTAATCGTGCCCATACCTGTGTAAATGAGTCCATGAATGGGTATCTAGGGTGTATTGTAAGTAATGGGCCAGTCTTAAGCCCTGGTATGTTCTGCGGATTGCGTTCATGCTTGCAAGAAGTAATTGAAGGAAAACTCTTAGGTCAACTAAGTGGTATCCATTTTCTCTGTAGATCGGGAATCAGGTATCTCTTCTCCTTCAAAATCATCCTCCATAGCCTGTGAGGTTGTCCCCTCTTGAGCCCCCCCTTCGTCCCCAGAAATCTCGCCCTCATCCACCATATTCTCGTCCCCGTCGTCTTTGGAAATCCTTTTTTCTTCTGGAGTAGATGTTTCTGATGCAGTAATGGTCTGCCTAAGGGGAGTGCCACCACGCGTTGCAGGACCAGACTTCTCGGCCTGAAGCTTTGCAACCACGGGATTCGTTTCCTCCCCTCCAGCACCAATACCGGTTCCAGTCTGCTGCGAAGGAGTCACGCTATTCTCTGGGTCTGGCCGTGGCGTGCTGGCTGCACTCCTCTTCCCTTTGGAACTAGCATCCCCCTCATCTCCGTCGTCATCCTCTTCCATCCCTTCTCGCCTCTCCACTTCCTCTTTTTCGTCTCTGATCAACCGCCTAAGATGCATCCCTTCATCAACAATACGCCCAAACTGCTCTCTTCGCTCAGCCCATGTCTGCGCGTATTCTGAGCTTTCCTTCTCCAGTTTCGCAATCTCAGCATGTAGCTTTTCTAGGTTCGCCTGCTGATCATCTCGTGGTCGAAGCAACCGGTTAGAAGTGATCTTGTCCGCTAACTCATCGTATGTTTTTCGTAGTGCAAGCGTATTTTGCGCTTCTTCAAGTTGCAACCGTAGCTCGGTGGTGTTATCTCGAACCTCCTGCGCCGTCGCCATAATCTCTAGCTTCTCCGCCGCATACCTCTCCCGCTCCTTCTCGTTACTTGCCAGGAGAAGCTGGATTCGGACAAGGCTGCTTTCAAACGCGGTAAAATCCAGGGTTATATCTTCTCGAAGCTGTCTCCATTTTTCCAGCATTTTCTGCTTCTCTGCTTCATGTTCCTGGATTGCATCGGCGTTTCCAGGCGTCGCTTCGGGGGGCGGTGTTGCAAGGAACGAGCCCGGCGAGGATATTAGGGAGTTTGGAGCAAGTAGGCGCTTTGTTATCCGCTTGAACGGTTTCTCTTCAACGTTTAATAGGCGGGATTTGTGAAGCCCATCTGTAATGGCTGGTCAACTTTGCACATGTCTTCGTCGCCCCCTAGCAAGTCCAGCTAAGTAGCCTCTCGACTCACCTTCATCCGCCTGATCTAAGAGCGAGTAATTCTCCATCTCGGGCAATACAGACTTCCCTGACAGTGTGGGAGAGTAAAAACACGGCTCCTTCGTCAGCTTGCTCCAGGCGATGGTCTTTGGTTGAAGCTTGAAAAAGCTCAGAAGCCGCCGAACGCTTCGCGATGCCCAAACGGGACTAGTGCGTATCCAGCCCGTGGTCACTCTAAAAGCGACTTCAACAACTTCAACAACTTCAACCTCAGCAACTCTATGGAGTGTCAAACAAGTATCAAACATCACCTTCGCACGAGGACTGGCACGAGTTGGAAAGCCGACCAGCCACACTGCCCGGAAGGGAAAGTTACATGAACTCAAAATGCAGATTCGTGGTTTATTTTGCATAGGGTTACTTCCATCCAGCGGGGGGATAACTCTGGACGCCAACTGGTGGCGTTACGACGAACGATAACTAACTAATTTGAGAGAGAGAAAGATTGCCACAGTGCCGCCGCGCGAAAACTGGCCGAATATACCCTTGGATCTTGTTATACTGCTCTATAGCTATCTCCTAGCAACTGTGGAGGCGATGCGATTCTCTAGGAGTAACGCACTCTGGGCCAAGTCGATGACCGAATTTGTTAGTTAACTAACTACCAACAGGTCTATGCTGATCTTCCAGTCTCTAGTTAATCAACAATGCTGAAAGGAGGCTGGGTCGTTACGAAAAGACTGGAAATTGGTTGAATTTGACCATGGATGGCAAAAAGCTTAGTTCCTCTCACAGCCGTCATATAAAGTAAACAATGTTTTATATGCTATGTTTCATATCTTCAACTTCTAGGCATAGGCTGATAAAATGGAATACACGACCGACTCTCCTTTCCGTTATGCACTAGGAAATGAAAGGACACTGGCCGCTGAATTTGGTGCAAGGCAACAAAGTGGGAAAACGTCATAGGAACAATGTCCGAGTTCCATGGTTGACACACTATAAACTTATCCATGGATGCATACATACCATAATAGGGACTGGACCATGGGGTAACGTCACCACCGGTCTCACTTTCCCATGCCACACTGATGATGTTTCCACCGTCTTCTGTTTGATACCCCGCAGTCGAATTGTGGGAAAACTTCCCTCTTATACCCAGCTAGGGTACCTATGCGCTTCTTTTGTTCACCATCCTCTCTTCCCGTCTCCATATCAAGAGTTTCAGGCTTCTCCATCCCTTTCATTATACCTATACCCCAACTAGCCCGGTCAATCCTCAGCAAACGTGTTCAAATGGCTGAACCGAAAGACATTGAACCTGAACAAACGCCCAGCCCTCCTGTGCGCGAAATTGTCTCGACCTCTAGCGAGAATGAGCCAACAGAGGAGGAGCTTGCAACTTTGAGAAAGGTGGCTGGTAAACTGCCATGGTCGGCATTTCTCGTCGCTATTGTCGAGCTATGTGAGCGATTCGCGTACTATGGTCTAAATGGGCCGTTCCAGGTAAGTTCTTAGGGCCGTAAGCATTAAGAGCTATGACACTAACTGTTGTTTTCAGAATTATATGCAGCATAAGTACAAGGAGCCCAGCGGGGTCCCTGGAGCGATTGGTGAGCTACTTTGATTCTTAACCAAACCCTTCGTCTTTGTACTTACGCTCTGAATAGGGCTTGGTCAATCCACAGCAACGGGACTTAGCAGCTTTTTCCAGGTATGGATGACCCGGTTGACATCTCGGAGCTCCTCTAATCTAATCTTCTCCATGCCTGCAGTTTTGGTGCTACGTCACTCCCATCATTGGTGCGATCATTGCAGACCAATACATGGGAAAGTACAACACTATTGTGATCTTTGCCTTGATCTATATTTCCGGCCTCATTGTTCTGTTCTGCACAGCACTTCCTGTTGCCATTGAGCATGGAGCGTCCCTTGGTGGTTTGGTAGCAGCAATGATTATCGTTGGGCTTGGCACAGGCGGAATCAAGTCCAACATATCCCCTTTGATTGCCGAGCAAGTGACTGCGACGAAACCTGAAATAAAGACCCTGAAGACCGGTGAAAGGGTTATCGTTGATCCTGCACGCACTGTGGAGCGCGTCTGTAAGTGATATTAGCCATGGCGCATTTTAATGGACTAAGCTAATTGAATTCACAGATATGATTTTCTATATGTGTATTAACACTGGATCACTGGCCGCAATCGCAACTACAGAACTAGAACTACACATTGGATTTTGGGCTGCCTACTTGCTTCCACTCTGCATGTTTATTGCTGGGTTCGTCGTACTCATTGTAGGTCGAAAACTCTATGTTGTCCGGCCACCAAAAGGCTCTATTTATCTACGTGCCTTCAAGGTCATGTATATCGGCATGAAAAATGGAGGAAACCTAGATGCTGCCAAAAGCTCCTCCCAGCGACACAGAGGTGGGCGTGTATTTCCATGGGATGATCAGTTCGTGGATGAAATGAAACGAGCCTTGGTAGCTTGTCGAGTTTTCATGTAAGTGATTTTACAGTTAAACCTAGGTCTTCCTGTTACTGAATTTGGTTGTATAGCTATTTCCCTATCTACTGGGTTTGTTACCAGCAGATGGTGAATAACTTTGTGTCGCAAGCCGCAACTATGCAACTTCATGGGATTCCCAACGATATTATGCAGAACATTAACCCTCTAGCAATCATCATATTCATTCCAATCTGTGATAGGATCGTTTATCCTCTGCTGCGTAAGAGAGGTAAGTTGTAATTAATTCGCCTCGAAAATACAACACCCGCTGATATAACCATAGGCATCAAGTTCAAACCCATTACACGCATAACTACGGGTTTCCTATTTGCCTCCATTGCAATGGCTTATGCCGCTATTGTGCAGCATCTCATTTATAGTAGCCCCCCATGCTACAACGCTCCCATGAAATGCGATGCGAGCAAGGACGGAAAGTTGCCAAATCAAGTCCATGTTGCCATCCAATCTCCTGCATACCTTATGATTGGTCTCTCTGAAATATTCGCTAGCATTACTGGCTTAGAATACGCATATACAAAGGCGCCTCCTTCCATGAAATCATTCGTCATGGCCATGTTCTTACTCACCTCGGCATTTGGTGCTGCCCTTGGCATGGCCATATCCCCTGTTGCTAAGGATCCTAAACTTGTTGTAAGTTTGATCTTCTCTCCAGGATAACCAGCAGTCCATCTCTAACCTCGAATTAGTGGATGTATACTGGATTGTCTATCGCGTCGGCGGTGGCCGGCATTATTTTCTGGATCCTCTTCAGTCGCTACAATGCTAAAGAGGAAGATATGAATGCTCTGGCAGAAAAGGAGTTACGCGAAGATAGACCAGTTGCTGCAAAACAGAATTCCATTATCTGAATAGTGTTTATCTTTTCACGAGATGGATGGTTTGGAGTAACTACTGGGCTGCTTGAATGTCTCTCAATGAAAAACTCGGACGGTGGGTGTGATGTTCTGGGTGATGTCTACAGTTTCTTCTTGATCACTAAAATGATCCACGACGGAATATTAATCACACACTGCCTCTATGGGTATCTAACAATACTAGTAATGGATAGTGTATATTTCACGCTTATGATCATGCACATGTAAACCGAAGAAGCAACTGGTCGACCAAGGAACCATGCTACTTCGCTTCCCAGACTTATCCAACGAAAACAAAGCAGCCGGGGCTCCTCGGCAATTACCCCTTTTCAAGTTAACCATGAGTGCATGAACATGAAGGGCGTGAGCAATGTCATCGATCTTGACAACCCTGGGAGTCCCCCCCAGCGTCATACATATGCACCACGACACACCAAATTCTCGTATTGATTGCATCATCCCATAACCAATCGGCAGGACCGTGCTTAAATGCAAGACCATGGGCGTTGTCGGAAAATATAGGGATCCCAGAAGTATATCTATCGTCCCAGTCATACTTGAAATCCGAGCCGAGGTGGTTTCTTTTCACAGCTCCCGACTCTTAACACACGGAACATTCTTTAGCTCACATAACTACCACGGGCTTCGGCTGTGGGGGCGGGAGGTGGATGCATTAACGAGAACTAGCATATGCCTTGGATGCATAATTGTTGTTGTTCAACAGCTGACAGGGCGTTATATTACACCATACGACATTATCACAGCCACGTTTTGGATGTGTGGAAAGCAGAATGTGATGGATGTATGACAGCTGCGCCTTGTAGACACAGACATGCCATGCCCCCTTGGCGGGACGCCTCCCAAGACGGGCGACAAATGTGCTAAGAGTCGGCGAATTTATGACATGGCGGGGACATCCTAGGGACATCCTAGGGGCTGCCGAGGGGCATGCATGGATACTCTACGCGGTCTAGAAGGTCAAGTCAGGGGAGGAAAATTAACTCCGACACTTGTTTCTTTTTTGTATGTATGCTATCGTCGATTCGCCATGCAAAAGCCAAAGGTACTCGCTCACACAAGGAGGGTAGAAGTGGTAGTAGAAAGGAACAAGACAGGAACAAGAAAAAAAATGGGACAAGACAGGAAACCAGGGGGTATGGACTAGGAGGAAAAGTAACTACACAAAATGAAAACCGTTAAAAAGAAATTAGTTAAGAAAATTGGATGAAGGAGAGGAAGAAAAGGTCAAATATCGGGGGGGTCAGCGTTGTCGCGTGAAGGGGATTTGAATGCAGAGGAACGGGGAGAGAAAGGACAGACAGAGAAAGGAAAGGGAATCAGTACTAGAGCTTGGAGCCTTGGTCTTCACCACGAGGCGATATGTCTCCGTTCGAGGTGCCATTCATACGACCGATGGAGGAGAGGAGAATGCCAACTTCGCGTTCGAGCGAGTTAACCTCGGAATGCGGGTTATACATTTTGGATTTGATCCAAGAGTCCAGATCGGAGTCAGTGAAGGTTCGGATCGCCGTTTCGCGGTCCACCTTGGCCTCCTGGGCGGCACGGATGACTCCTCTGGCAACGGCCACGCTGACTTCACGGATTCTTGTGATTTCAGGGTATAGTAGGCCTCGGTCAAGCTCCTCGGTTGTCAGGGATGTCGAAAGGGCGTCTGCAGCGGCGTAGATCATGCTATCGGTGACTTCGACGGCCTTGGAGAGGATAGTTCCGAGTCCGATACCGGGGAACACATACATGTTGTTGCCCTGGCCAGGGTAGTACGTTGATGTCTCACCAGCGCTGTTCTTAAAGGAGAATGAAGGGAATGGAGAGCCAGAAGCGAAAAGGGCACGGCCGTCGGTGTGTGTGATGGCAGACTTGAAGTCACATTCCGAGTTAGCGGAGGGGTTCGAGAGAGGGAAG